TACACTGTTACAATCTAATCCCCACGAGGGAAAATCCAGTATCTTGCCTTTAATGCAGGGTAGGGGGAGGGTCGTAAGGTCAAGTACGACTAATTTATTCACTCAGTCAGATTTCCTCTGCCTCGTGGATGGCAGATGGAGAGGCTCGATATGATATCACCGATCTGAATCACCCAGGGGAGAAAGAGGAGGCAGAGGTGGTAACGACGGGGAGAGATGCAAGGATGAGGGGAGAGGAGATTGACAGGAAAGATGTACAAAGAAAGGGGCACAGATAGTACAAAATTAGGGAATTAAAAGTGGTTAGATAAAGAGATAGTGTAGCCTAGCCTGCAAGAGCATGGAGTGTTTTCACCTCACTGAGTCAGCTGTTGAGCTGAACATTGAGTCACACAAGCTCTTATCAGATGTGTGTGTGTGTGTGTGTGTCCTTATCTTAAGACAAGTGGTTCTGGTCCAGTAATATCCTGGAAGATGGTAGGAATAAGCTGCTTAGACCAAGATCTGACATGGAGGAATGTGGGAGAACAGATAGCACTAGTAAGATGAGAGGAGGTGATGAGGATGGAGAGAAAATGAAGAGGAGATGGACAGATAAGGGATTTGGAGGACAACATGGAGACGGTTAGGAAAAGATGAGACGTATATAGAAGTATGTAAAAATTTGAATTGACAGAGGATATGAAATTAAGAAAAGCTTGTTTGAAAAAAAATTTTTTTTCCCCAAGACAAAAATGTGTTTTGTGACCAAAACTTGCTTGACAAGAACTTTACTGATCCCAAAGACACTTTTCCCCCAAAATGGCCTTTTATTTTATATCCAGATTGATTTTTATCAAAATGCATTTCAAAAATAAATAATATGAAACTATGACAATAATTGTTAAGTTAGATTTCAAAGTTGTATTTTTTTCTTTGCAATTTATTAAAATGACTGATGCACAAAATAAAATAAAAATTAATTTAAATCTGTTTGTGTTTTGTGTGTCCTCAGAGTTCCAGCTGAAGATGAGGAAGCACCTTTGAAGACCTACAGATGTTCACCCTCCCTGGACAATCCGGCTTCAGCGTCACTTATTACCCAGGAGGACATATGACACCGGGATCATCTGTAGATTGTATAGTCCCTAGTTAACTGGTTCAAAGAGGGATTTCTGTAAATACTGACTTTTGTCTGGTTTGAATACGTTGAACTGAATTATCCCCGTGTGAATTTGGCCGGTGAACATTTGTGCATTTAAGTTAAGCTGAACTGCCACTGGCTGACACTCTTTATTTCCCCTTGTTACAAAGGGGTCATTTTGAGCCCTTTCCTCTAGAGACTAAACCCTTTCAATTGCCACCTCAGATTCCTGCACCTCCTCAGACTCATTCCAAGAGCCTTGTGTATTGTCTTCAACCTCTCTGAGGAGGATTCATCTCCTCCTTCTCTTGAAATTCTTACATCTTTCAACTGCTCAGACATGGACCTCCACAGGGCAGCCTTCAAGATGGAGAGCTCCTCCTATTTGCCTAATCCTCTTGCCTCCCCAGCCCTCATGGTCTTGGCCTCCACTGCTGAAGCTTCCCGCGATGCTTCAATTCCCTGCCAGCAGCCGCGTCCATTTGGAGTCCCCGTGTCTGTTGAAAAAGATGTCCATTTGCCATTTAACAATGGCTCTTACACTTTTGCATCAATGTACCACCGCCAAGGTGCAGTCCCACCAGGATTTCCCAACAGAGACTTCCCTCCATCCCTCCTCCACCTTCACCATCAGTTTGCACCACCTAACCTGGACTGCTCACCCATCAGCATGCTGAACCACAGCGGCGTCGGTGCCTTCAGGCCTTTCGCCTCACCTCCAGATGATCGAGACGGGCCACCAGGCGGTTATCAGTCTGCTTTCACTCCAGCCAAGCGCCTTAAGGGCTGCCTGGATCCAGAGGCTTCCCCCCACCTGCGGTACTCTGATGCTGAGGGGAAAGAGTATGATTTCGGTGGTGCTCAGATCCCACCTGGAGGCTCGCCCAGCAGCACACTGAAGGTGGTTGAGGACAGTGGAAAAAAGATCTTTGCTGTGTCAGGACTCCTGTCTGATCGAGAGACCTCCTCCAGCCCAGAGGACCGCATTGACCGCTGTGAGTAACTATTTATACCTGTTCCTGCAAGACGTTTGATGAAACTGGGATCATGAGTAGATCATTGAAAACATACTGTAATACCACAGGGTCACTAAGTGGTTTGATCAGATCAACAAGAATATTAATTGTATTGGAACTGGTTTTGCAAATTGTCAAACCAACTAAACGCTTTTGGGGAACTTTGCTGTAATGTATTATTAAGTGTTCTCTTTTAGCAAAGCACGCCATTAGAATAATTTAGTTTTGATATTTTCATCTTTTTAGAGATCACAAATATGTAAAATCTAAGAAACAAGTCTTTGGAGGTATTTTCGAGTGTGATCAGCAACAACATACTGTGATGGGTTTTCCTTTCCTACATCTATGTCATACTTGTCAAATAATATTTAATGTCTTACTGTACTTTCAAACTTGAACACTCAAACAGGACACTCAAAAATATTGTTCAGAAGGTCTTTTCAAGGCTAAAGTTGACCCTTTATCTTCTTCTACTTATTCACTTTGAATTGTAAGAAAAGTTTCCAAAAGTAGTGAAACTCATACGATTTACCATGATGCATTGTCAAATTATATTACAAGCATGTGCAGCACTGAAACAGTCCTGTCTGTGTTCTCCTGTCATCATCTCTCCTGACTCTCACTATCCTCGTTTCACAAATCCACAGGCTCCGCTGGTCACATTAGCATTCACCAGTGGAAGGATGCCATTTGGACCTCACTCACTGGGAATCTGATTAATGTGTGAGCATTCTTGTGTGTGTGTGACAGGTTCAGAAACTGGCCATGCTCTCTGCCATCAGCATTCATCATAGCTTTGCACTGGCAGTTGTGTTGCCAAAATGTTTACCCTCATACCCCAAAGCTTGGCAGGCCAAGTGTGTGTGTGTGTGTAATAAATGGTGGGTGGGAGAATTGTTGTAATAGCTCCAAGCACAAATATACAAACACTTTATCAGAGACACAAACAGCTTTGCAGCATGAGCATCGACATCTTGTACACATGTCAAAAAGCTGCGTTGGATCTCAGAGACAAATCAGGAGATGAGCAGACAAAGATGTGCGCTTTAGGGTCCAGTTAAGACTGTCCCTCATTCTCCATGAATAATCTTACATGCCTCATTTTTATTGACTCCTGGATTTACTTTAGATATTATTTTTTTTTGTCAAATCAGCATCTTCTTTTTATCTTCTTACATTACTGACTTTGTGTGATGTACCCTTGATGGAACATGAGAAACAGAAGCGATGACCTGTGACTAATCTGAGAGAAAAAAAAAAAAAGACCACTACAGGAGACAGAGAGGCAGTGGTGTAGTTTACACGATATGCAGGTATTTAAAGTATACCCACTAGAAAAGCTTAAGAATTTCAGTATACCCACTTAAAAGTCCCCAATGATACATGACATATCATTGGGCACATGTCATTGATACGCTAAACAGCAGTTAAACACTTCTGTAACAATATTTCTGTATACAGCGCTTGTTTATTACATTTGTTTGTCCAGCAAATTGTTGGATAACTCTGTACTTAACCTTGAACATGTTTTGCTTTGATACAGTTTTATGAATTCTAAAACCTGTTTTTAATACAAAGTCAACTGTTGTGCAAAGTTTGTTGTTCATTTATTCAAATATAAGCATCTGAGAAATTTGGAAATGTTCAATATGCTTAAAAATCAAAATAAATAGACAATTACACTGAAGTAATCAGTATACTTTGGTTTCCAAGCACAGTATACCCACTACAAAAATGTAGACTACACCACTTCAGAGAGGGTGAGAAAATAGAATGGGAAGGAACAGTTGAAAAGAGATATGCAGGTTTACAAAGTATAGCCACTAGAAAAGCTTAAGCACTTCAATATACCCATTTAAAAGTGCCCAGTGATGCATGACATATCATTAGGCACATGTCACTGATACATTAAACAGCAGTTAAACACTTCCGTAACAATCTGTCTGTGTGCAGCGCTTGTTTATTCGCTTATCCAGCGAATTATTGTATAATTCTGTACTTACTACTTAATACTTGAACATGCTTTGCTTTGATACAGTTTCATAAAATCTATAACATGTTTTCAATACAAAGCCAACTGTTGCACAACGTTTGTTGCATTTATCAAATCTATATCTATCTATCTATCTATCTATCTATCTATCTATCTATCTATCTATCTATCTATCTATCTATCTATCTATCTATCTATCTATCT